AAATGTAGACCGATATAATACATTTGACAAAGTGAGAGTCTGCAAAAAATTTTAAGATTTTCACTTGAAAGTTTATAGGGGCATTCTTGAATCGGTTTAAGTTTGAAATAAATCAATATGCAAAATTAAATTTTTTGAAACCGAGAATGGGGGGAGGGTGGTACCCTTAAATGCGCAAAAGTCAGGCTATGGGAAAACTTTAATGATTTAGTTACAAGTTTTGGTAAACATTTTCTAACAGTTTAAAAAACTCAAGCTGTTTATAGAAAAGAGTATATCAATTAAACACTAATTGGCTAATATAGCAGTGAATTTCCTTTCAACATTATTCTTTGAGTGTATAAATGGTTAAATTCTTAATCAAAGTAAAACAAAACGGTATATAGACTTAAACTTCCGATGACTATTCTACTCCTTTAAAACAAACAAAAACCCCGTTGTTTGTTTAATGATGAAAAGAAAATCTCTTAAATTTTATGACCTTTTTATTGTCTTTCTGCCATTTGTTTTCGGAGTGTGTGTGTGTTTTACTTTTCTTTTTTTAGCTTTTTCTTCTGGCACAACATTTTCCCAGGTTCACTTTTCTAGCAAATTCGCCTTTTATTATTGTGTGTTTTTTTTCTCTCCCAGAGTTTTTAGTATAATTGTGTGGCCTAAAACATCAGTAGCCATAAATATATTTGTAACGGCCAAATGGCAACCCAAGCCCTAAATATTTGTAGAGCTAATTTTATTGTTTATTTTGTCTATGATGAGATTTTTAATGGACTTCGACACAGCCTGCATGGTTTTAAATTTCTATTTTAGTCACGTTTTTCTTCTACATTTGGCTTTTGGTTGTTTCATAGATATTTAGTGTTCTGTTCCGTTTTGTTTCAAATAACCGGTGTTTGTTTTACTTATGTTTTCTTATTGTATCTTTTTCTATTAAAAATAAAATTGGGCTTCGTCGCCAATTAATACATTTTTTATTTTGTTTGCAAGGTTATATATTTCATTTTAATTTAAATGATAAAATCTTAAATGCGTTTCATTGCATTTTCATGTAGTGTCATCTTGATAGATGACAAAACATAAAATTTCCGCACAGAGAAAGGCTTTAATATTTGTAAAGAAAAAACCACAACATTATATACATGAACCTTTGAAATATTTCTGATGGATAACTACAACAAAGATCTTGACAACACCAACAGTTTTTAGTGGGTGAAATACCCAACAGCACCTGGTATAGAAATCTACGACAATGGTCGTAATCAAAAGGTGATGGCTTATAAATATTATGTGTGAACTAGATTTGAAATTTCGGTGATTTTCAAACGGCTGGCAAATATGCATTATATTTAAGACCTGGAACTTTGCATATATGTAAGAGAAGACTTAAAACCCAAAACAATTGATATAATTTTGTTGTTCTTATTGTTTTATAATTAAAGAAAATACCTTCTTTTCGATGGCGGGCATAATTTTCCGCCACTGAAACGTCCGAATAAAAAATTTCAACGGCATTCAAAATAATAAATTTTTGGATTATTAACATCGGACCTATGAAATGACTTAGGAAATGGTATGACTGACTATTCAATTAAGCCGGTGAAAAATTGCATGTACTGTATGAATTGACACTTCATTGAAAAAAAGAAAATTAATAGTATGTCTATAGTAAAAAATTTTAAATTTGGAACCGATTGGATTATGTGTAATCGTGAACGCAAATCGCGCATTCTATGTCGACTATACCTTTAAAAGTTTGATTATCACCAGCCTTATGGCTAACGAGAGTATATACACTTTGATGTAGCAAAAATGTGCCTCATCGAAATACTGGTTTTAGATCTCACGTTTCTTTGGACCAAATCCGTTTCATACAATTCGGAGTCGATTTTCAAATGTCCGTCTGTCAGGCTGGTTGGTGTGCACTATAACTCTCGAGGCGAATTAACAATTTCATCGAAACTTTACACATCGTAATATTTCTTCTAAACTTAGATCAAGTTCGAAGATGGGGGATATCTATCCACCACTTCTGGTACATCCCCCACAAAATGGTCAAAATTGAGCTAGAAATTAATTTTATAATATCATGCGAACGGACTACCTGATGCGACCATACATCAAGTCTGAAGATGGAATCCATTGGTCAACTCCTTCTTTGTGGGGGGTAGGAACCCCACAAAGGATCAACATTTTTAATATTCATAAATTGCATAGGTGACAAAAATATGATTACCTAATAGGGGGCTATACCAAAAGCAGGGATCCATACCGATCATTTTGCGTATTGAAATCCTTTTTAGTCAATAATAATAATACCAAATTTTGGTCAAATTCCTAAAATACCGAATATTGTGGTTATTGTTATATGGGGTCTGCCCTGAAACATAATTATTATTAATCAATATTAATCTTTTTGGTAAAGACATTTCATATACAATGAGAACACAAAAAACCTAAATTACAGCCAATTACATTAATTACTGTTATAGGAGGGTAACCGGGAACATGGGTCAATATTAAAAATTTCCAATTTGGTTGGAAAAACATGCCGAATATTACGCGGTACCGTTGTGTGGGGGCTACCTTAAAACATGAGCCAATATTATTTTTGGTAAGGGAGTGCCAATAAAACTTAAATTTGTTGGGGGCATACCGGAACTGGAACATGGGTTAATATTAAACATTTGTAGTACGGAGATGTGAAATCCAATGAGAACCCAAAATACCAAATTACAGCCAATTTGGTTGAAAAACGTGGCCTAAATTCCCAAAATACCGAATATTGGGGAGTGCCGTTAAATGGGAGCTACCCTGAAACTTCGATCAATATTAATAATTTCTGGTGCGGACATGTATGTAGAATGAAACTCCAGATAACTAAATTACTCGGTTAAAAAAACGTGTATGAATCCCCAAAATGGGAAATATGGTGGCGACACCCAAAACTGGGCCGTTACACACAAGTGAACCAATATAAAATTAGTGTACACACATACGGCGTTAAGTTTGCTATATAAAAAATATAACTTTCAAAATTTTGCCATCATCGGGACACTTTTACAATAATATTAGATAATGTAATTTATGCAAAATAAACCTTTCTTATTTTTTCTACTAGCATATGCCAGCAACTTCGTTAGCGAATGTAGGAAATATTTAAACATGTATTAACATATTATTTTTTTCACAGCAAACTGCATACGTCAGAAAAACCAATTCACTCATTAATATAGACCGTAAATTAAATTTGAGTACCATTTAGTACTACATTTCATGATTCGAGCTCTAAAGGTTCACCCAAATCCAAATTTTCGATTTAGCACACATTATTTCCATAAGTACCCTGTTCGACCATCCAACAAAACTTCATGCATATCCCAATCCTACACCCCTACAATGATTCCAAATTCAAATTTCAAGATTCCAACTATATTGGTCCACCCACAATTTAAATTGTACCAAATTTAGTACATAGTAGTACGATTTTCCAAAACATCCTTCTTACCCCAAACCAACACCCCCACAGTGATTCTAAATCCATGTTTAAGATTCCAAATCTATCGGTTCACCCACAATTCAAATTGTACCAAATTTAGTACACAGTAGTACTTATTTCCAAAACATCCTTCCTACCCCAAATCTACACTCCCACAGTCATTCTCAATCCAAGTCTCAGGTTTTCAACTCTATTGGTGCACCCGCAATTCAAATTGTACCAAATTTAGCACATAGTTGTACCAATTTCCAAAACTTGCTACATACCCCAATTCTACACTCCCACAGTCATCCTAAATCCAAGTTTCAAGATTCCAATTTTATCGGTTGATCCACAATTCAAATTGTTTACCCACAATTCATATTTTACAAAATTTAGTACACAATAGTACCAATTTCCAAAACTTCCTACATACCCCAATCCTAAATCAAAATTTTATGATTTCAACTCTATCGCTTCACCCACAATTTAAATTGTACCAAATTTAGTACATATTAGTACACATTCCTAAAACTTCCTACATATTTCAATCTTACAACTTAACAGTGATCCTGACTCCAATTTTCATGATTCAAGCTCTATTGGTTCACCGAAAAATTCAAATTGTACCAAATTTAGTACCATTTAGTACCCATAAGTATTAATTTGTTAAACTGAATCCTGACCCTAATCATACATCCCTACAATGATCCAATGATCCAAACGTCATTGTTCCAGCTTTATCGGTTCACCCAAATCCAAATTGCACCAATTATGGTACAATTTAGTACTTTTCGTACACATAAGAAACAAATTTCCAAAACTACGTACATATCCCAATCCTACACTCCGACGGTAATATTACTTTAAATTTTCAGGATTCCAGCTCGATTTGTACATCCAAATCAAATTTGTACCAAAAATAGTACCATATAGTAGTTTTCATACACATGAGTACACGCTTTCAAAACCATCTCCTTAAATAGACTCTATATCTCAACCCTAATTCGCATTCCACATTTCAAGTTTTTAGCTCTATCCATTCACATGCTACGAATTTGTACCAAACTAAGTACATTTAAGTAATTTTCGGATAGTTATAGTTCGAATTTCCAAAAACCCTTTGCTACATCTACTCTCTTACACTCCATCAGCGACCATCAATCCAAATTTCAGAGTTCTAGCTCTACCGGTTCGCCAAATACAAATGGTATCACATTTCGCACTTTTCGCACCGTTCTAGTACAAATTTCTAAAAACCCAGCCTTATCTGTCACCTTTGGACCATGAGTGAACTTCACCCAAAATTTCAAGATTCTAGCTTCCGCCGTTTCGTCTGGGCGTTGATGAATTGTTAAATCAGTCAGTCAATCACTTTACTCTTTTATTAGTATAGATTGTAAAATATCCACTTGTTTTCATTGCACGAATTCAATACATTTTTTGTCATAAGCAAAAGTAAAAAAGTAACGCAAAAATATTATTGAAAAACTGTTAAAAATGTGAAAAATATAATCATAATACTTACATCATAGTTTTCTGGCAAACCAGGTGGACCTGGTGGTCCCGGAGGACCCGCTACACCAGGCATGCCGTCGACACCTGGTTCACCTTTCTGGCCCTGTAGACCTTCGGGACCACGAGGGCCAGGATCGCCCCTATCGCCGCGGTCGCCTTTCGGACCGGGGGCACCGCGTTCTCCTGGCACCCCAGTAGCACCCTACATTGTGTTATGAAAAGAGGAGAGAAAAAAGAGAAAATTGTAAATTAATAAAAATTGCTCACACATTTGTCTTAAGTAACAAGCTTATACAATACATTTAAAAATATAAATTTGCTACTTTCCATCACCCTTTAGGATGGCAAAAACTTAAATTAAGGTGTGTTACAGTATAGTCGCAGCAATCGAATTAACAAAGCAAAGCATACCGGCATGACATGATTTTGGGTAAGTTTTAATGTGATTTGGCTATTGTGTCCAAACCCGTTCAACCAAAGTAAACACTTTACGAGCGTTTCCATCAACTATGGGCTTAGTTCGTTTAATATACAATATTTTTTTAATATTGGCGTTTAAATTACAAATAAAAAAATAACAAACGGAAATAAAGGGCAAATGGTATCAAATAAATTTATGTTTTTGGGGTCATAAAATTTACACCACATTGACACTCCTTGTTTTACTAATACAACGATTATAACTAAAACTCTAGCGCCATAATACAGATTGCGAGCGGGGAGGGGGTACAAGAATATGTTTTTTCGCGTAGGTGTGGGTGTTAATGTGAAAGTTCTTGCAGATGTCTGAGCTTAAGATATACGTTAGCTGTTAATGTCTTTCCATGCCCAACAAAAAGAAGAAAAAAAAACACTTTGCCTTTCACTTGGTTCTTTCGCTTATTCCACGCCTACATTTACGTTCTGGTCCTTATGTCTGGAAAATTTATCACCAAACGAATGAAAGTAGAATAACAAGAACAAAAAAAGAAAAAACAACAACAAGAAATAATCATGTTTTCTTAATGATTGCGTGTTCCGATATATCGCTCAAAGAAAGTGTTTGCTGTTAGAGCTCCCCATGATAGTAGAACGAATTGCCAAGAATCAGGAATATGTGACAACAGTATGTCTGTGTGTGTTTGTATGTAGAACTATGTTCGTATGCTGGCTTTTAGTTTTTGCGGTATTTCTTATCGGATTAAATTAATTGCTGTAAGTAAGAAGGGATTACCATGATGGTGGCCATACCGGAATTTCCGGCATTTCAACATATTTCATCAGCTCGTGTTTAGTTTGACTGGCAAGATATGAAAGTCTATCGGTGTTACAATGTTGCCTAGAGATAGTCTCGTGTAAATAGGAAACAAACGAGTTTTCCTAGTTTCTTTTATATCTAGCCAAACAGTAGGTTTTTGTTTTTTGTACAGATGTAGGTTGTAATAGAATATTATATAAGTATGGAAAGAACAGAAGAAGAAACTACTACTATGTTAAGATGTATGTAGTTTTCTTTTTTACTTTAGATTGTAGATAGATCTATTACATATCAAAGAACAGGTGAGGACAAAGGGCAAAATTGGGCTGGGTTTAAATCACTTATGGTATACACAAGAGCTATTTTAAGAATCTCATTGTAAAGTTTATTAAATGAATTATGGTTATTATATTTGGGGATTTAAATAAAACTTGACATATTGCCCATTTGCTGTAAAACTGGCATAAAATAAAAATTATGCAGAAAATGCATTTTAAGTTTTCTATTTACTCCAGTGGTGGTCCTAACAATATAGAGAGTAAGAGTGGGTGAACTTAACTGAGAATTCATCATTAAAAACAACTTACGGTAGCGTATATGGCTAAGCGTGCCTAATTTATTCACACCCTACAAGGAACAGAGGAATCTGAATTTTTTACACATCATGAGATTCCATATAGCGAACAATTCTGTATCATTAACTCAAAAATCGCGATATGATTTATGCCGGACATGCATCAAACGAGAGTTTGATAAATCATTTACATGAAATCGTACTTAATTAGTTTTTGGAAACTATATTTAAGGGGACCCCACCCATTCTCGGTTTCAAAAAATTTTATATTGTGTGTTTTGATTTAGTTCGAACCTACACTAACTCAAGAATGTCTATATAAATTTTCAAGTGAAAATCCCAATTGACAGCAAGAGGTTTTCTCAAACTTTAAATGCTTTTTTCTCTAAAACCGTTTTTGCGAATGGCGGGCACGATAACTCAAAAATTAACAATCCGATCGATTCCAAATTTTGACACGTTTCTCTGGGAGTGTATAGCTCTCGTATGAACTAGGATAAAGCCAATTGGTGAAGATATGATTCCTTGCATCCTGAACCCTTGGGAAGAAGTTATATCTATTTGTTTGTGAAACTCTTTCGATTTTTCTATCTACGATACTTTGAATCAATAAAATGACCAAAAACTTTTCTATAGGGTAAAGATCTGATAATTATGTTGGCCTTTATAAAACCCTGATTTTTGCCTCCCGCAATCAATCCTTGATATGATTTGGTATATATTTGGTGTTAATTGCTGGAACAATAGCGTTTTCCCACACATTTGTATAAACAATCCCATCCATTACATCATAAATCTCGTTAATATTTCGAATTCCATAAAATAACAAACAGCGTAATATCATTATTGACACTCCTCCATGCTTCCCAGTACTCTTGCAATGCAGTGGCATCGCCTTTCATTTTTGGTCTTTCTCATGGTAATAACTTTTCTATGTCTAGGACTTAATTATTTCACTTTAATTCATCCGAGAGCGTAATATTTCTACGCTGAGACGGATTCCAATTAACATGGGCTTTTGCGATAGGCAATCCGGCTTTCCGATTTTTTTTTTTTTTTCAGAAAAAAAAGAACTCTGTTGATAGTTTCCGGGCATGTAGACATGCTCGTCCAGGGCCAGTTTTTGTAATTTATTTTTATATTTCCAATATTGCGAAATAATATGACCCGATTTAGTTTGTATATAGCACACGTCAGTCTATACTCAAATTGGTAGACAATGTACAACTTTCGATTTTCTCCCATCCAAATTGCCATACACCAAATAGGAGCTATAACTAAATCTGAACCGATGTAAACAACCAATTACACCCAAACTTGGTGATTAATATATATCAATCTACATCTAATTCAATACTCTGTGCAAAATCTTGTCTTAATCGGACCAATTTTGTGAGTTTAGTGCACCATTAACATAAAATCGGACGATTTTTCTCAATATTTCAATAGGGTTTGTTCTTGGGCCAAATAAGTGACTTGTGCCAAATACATGGACGGACATGCATAAATCGGCTCAGAAAGTTATTCTATGCATATTTTCATACTTAATGTTAAGTCGAGACCAATTATAGTTACTATTCAATATCAAAAGTATAGTTACCATCAAGATATAAATGGAATTAATGAGAGCTATCAACATAGCTAAGTACACATGTAATGGGAATGATGCAATACGAAGCATATAGCAACACAACAAACTAATTGGCAATTGGTAAAATAGGTATTTATTGAGCCCTTTAGTATGGCCAATAAATACCTAGACAAAATGTCTTGTTATCATAATCCTGTGGTGGGTCTCCACAAGATAAATCAAACAAAAAAAAATGTTTCAACTTTCGCCAATCTTAATCGGATTAATTTAATAACTTCAAAGATATTGTTAAGTTGTTAACTCAAAACTAATATTTTTCTCTCAAACTATCTACTACAATTAAAATATATTTATTAACATTAATATATAACGATTTAAATTATTAAATATTGTATACAATTTTTCACTGCATTTACAACCCCATGTTTGCCTTCATCTTCTACTCCATTTCGGATAATCATTCACATTCATTTGTTGGCAGATGGTGCTGGGTTATTTCACATAGCATTCAAGTGGATATTTTGTTTTTAGCGAATAAATACTTAAGGTCGACCCAAAAATGTTTCTACTGCAGTTCAGCAAGTGGCTGGTGGATAGCAAATAGAGATGAAATGCTCGGTTTGTTTTGGTTTTTATGAGATACTTTCAGTCATCTGATTTATGACGGGAATTTGTTAAGATTATGGCCTTAATGGTGGTCAGAATATTTCAAATGTTTACGGCTAATGGAGATAGTAAGTGGGAGGGAGGGGTCATGAAATGTTATATATTTTATATACATATATATGAATTACCAACCGCTTTACGTTTTATGTATTGCATAAGACTTCGTTCCACAAGAGGCTAATTCATTGAAAGCCCATTGCAATAAGGATTTAAAGAATAGATAAATTAAATTAAAGACAAATACATATAATAAATAATGGAGAAAAATTAAAATAAAATATATCGATACAATTTAGTGTAATATTTAATATTTCTAACATTAAATTTTTGACATCATTATAACCCAAGTATCAATACATATGTATATGGCATACTACAACACGATGTCTATGTGCAACCCATTAGTATTATTCAAACTGAACATCACCTTTGACTTCAAAAATTTGTTGTTGTTTACAACCTCTGCTTTAACTGGAACAAAATAAATAATATCTTAAAAGAGCTACGAATACTATTTCTAGGTATTTCAAAAGTAGTGCGGAATTATTATTGGTAGAATATTTTACAATAGTCCCAATGAGTGTAAGACGTACCTGCAGATAAGTGTAGCACAAAGTTTTATAATAGTAAGGTTTTAGTTAAAACAAGCCGTTAAAATTACGCGGATATCCACGTGGAACAATATCACAGCGAATGATTTAGGGAAATTTTGGGTAACACTTCAGATTTATTGTAAAACGGTAAGGGTCTTTAAGAATAGGACAGAAATTTAATAGCAATGCACTTTTAAACAACATTGAAATACGCTTCGACTTCCCATGTAATAAATAATTGGCGGTATAGTAATAATATAGGAAATATTCCAAAATGAGGACCCATACCGATCATTTTTTCTGAGATGCATAAAATATACTAAATTTCAACAAGTTTTAATGTGAAATTTTTCCTAAAATCTCCACACCCCAAAACACCAACAATTTTGGGTATCATCATATGAGAGGTATGAAGTTCACCACCATTCAAAACATAGCCTCATTACACCGAAATGAAACGGAATTATTATAAATAATATAAACAAGTAAAACTGTGCCAGGCCGAACTTTTTATACCCTCCATTAGGAGGTGGGCAATCGA